TCTAAATCCGTGAGAAACCATAACTGTCGTGGTTTCGGTCATGTGACGAATGAGTGCCCTAATGCTAAGCGATTTGAAGAGAAGGCTATGAATACTACTCTCATTGATGACAAGTCTAGCTCGAAAAATCAGAGTGGGAAATTTACCCATGAAGAGAGTGGAAAATATGTGGCCTTCGTTGCTAGGGGTAAAAGTAGACCCGATCAGGGGAGTGAAAGGACAGAGGACTTAGATAATAGTGAAGATTCTGGTGATGAGAATGGAAGTGCCCTAGTGCTAAGAGATTTGAAGAGAAGGCTATGAATACTACTCTCACTGATGATGAGTATAGCTCGAAAAATCAGAGTAAGAAATTCACCCGTGAGGAGAGTGGAAAATATGTGGCCTTCGTTGCTATGGGTAAAAGTGGATCCGATCAGGGGAGTGAAAGGACAGAGGACTTAGATAGTAGTGAAAATTCTGGTGATGAGAGTGGAAGTGTGGAAGATCTAGAAACAGCCTATGATAGGATGTATGAGAAAAGCCTCAAGATCTTAGCCACTAACTAGATAATGAGCAAGAAAGTGAAAGAGCTTAAGCTAGAGAAGGAACAATTAGAGGCCCGTGTTAGTGATCTCACCAGTAAGAATGAGATGTCCTCTGGGAAAGTAAGTGAGCTGACCATTGTGAATGAGACCTTAGCTATTCAAGTTAAACGCCTTGAGAGTGAGCTAGAGTTGTCTAGGTCTCAGTTACTTGCCTTTTCTAGCAGTTCTGAAAGGCTAGATAATATTCTAGGAATAGGTAAGCCGGCTGGTGATAAGGGAGGTCTAGGTTTTGATCTGAATGTTGCTAGTACATCACAGATCACCTTTGTTCGTGCTACTGACCAGTCAAACATTGTGACTAACCCTATACCAAATGTTGTGAAAACTTCAGGACGTAGGTCTACCAGACGTCGTAGGTCCCGTTGGCCTAGAAATAGAAATCAGCGTAAGCATATCACAGGTCTCAAGTTTATCCCTACATGTTTTCACTGTAGAGAGTTAGGTCACATCCGCCCTAAGTATCATCACTACTTGAACAATAGGAAAGACTTGAGCTTGAAAAAGAATAAAAATCAGGTGTCTGTTGGTCAGATTAGATTCCTTACTGATCAAGTGAATCGTTTGACTTAATTGGTGACACAACTGTCTGGAAACAATCCTTGCTCTAGACAGGTTTGGGTGAAGAAAAGCGATCTCCCAAATTTAGTTAGAGATCGTGGTGCTCTTAAAGGAAATAACACTTATATACCTACTCGATTAGTTATTTTTTATGCATGCTTGGCTCTTAATTGATATATAATTGTTGCATGCATCACATGTATATTGTTTGTTTTGTTTTGTTGTTTTTCATGCATGTACATTTTCACATACGAGTTTTGGCGCATGCATATTTATTTTTATCTTTGTGTGCTTGACTTTATTTTATTTTGTGTATGGAGCATTCATTTTAGGAAAAACGAAAAATACAAAAATATTGAAAATTTGAAAAAGACAAAAACAATTGGTTATGGAAATTTCTACAACATGACACATGATTTAGAGCTTGCACGTTGTGTCATGTAGGAGCTAAAATTGATAAACTGTAGAATAATTTTCATTGCTTGGTTAGGTCTAATTGGATTAATATATATAAGTGTTTTCATGTACCATCTGCACTTCACACACTATGAATTTGTTAGGTGGGACGCTATCACGTGTCTGAGATTCGGGATGACTGTTACATGTTAATGGGGTGACTTTGAACATGAATTGACCAATTTCCATAAACCTTAACCCAAAAATTTCCCCCAATTTTAAATGCTCATATCTTAATGTTCTTCTTCGGGACCTATTTGATTTGAGCAATTAAGCCTTTGGGGTCTCTTAAAACTTGATGTCTATGGTCAACTGATTTGGGTTAACCGGTCTAAAGCTCGCTACATGGGTCATATTAGACGCCTAATAGAGAAGAACATGCACTTAAGATGAAAAATTAATGAGTTGGAGAAATGAAAAAAATATGAAAATTATGATGAGCTGAAATACTTCGAAAAATTGAAAAACAAATAAATTTATAGTAAGGGGGAGATAAGTAAAAATAATAAGAATAGATCCTACTACGCGTTACATGGTTTGACTCTCATTAGTAGGAGAACATACTTATTAGCAGTGATTGTCATGTCCCTTCTCACAAAATTAAGGTTTGGAGTCCTCCTTGCATTGGATCAGTGACACTTTACACACATGAGTCATTTATATTATTACTCAATTCTGGACTGAACTAAGTATGTGGGGAGTTATACTACTTGTTGATTTTGCTTTTACATGCTATCAATTGCATTTATTATTATTATTATTATTATGTATTTTTGCTCGACTTGATCTTAATGTATGTCCCTTCAGCATTTGTGACAAAAAGAGGGAGAGAAATGTGTAACTGAGGGGGAGAAAAAAATAATGATTGAGCATACACATAGGTGAGCTACTGCATTTGTAATGTGCACATGATTTCATTTATTGGCATTACTTGTATTGCATTGCTATAATTAGGGGTCTTCGAGGAGAGACATAGATACATTTGCATACTGCATAAAAATATGAGAGTTTGTAGTAAGAGGAGTGTTGTATTGCATTTCATATCACATCCCATCTGTTTGAGTTTTGATATTTAGTGGTGTTGATGTTTCGGTTGGTGTTTTGATTGACATCAATATCATGTCTCAAACTAGCATGTTGAATTGTGATTAAGTGTTTCAATTGTTATATTTCCTATATCACGTGCTTTTACACTGGGTATGTGAGTTTGTGAATTTCAGGAAACAGCTACAAGAAGGAATGTAAGACTCAGTTATTAGACTTACTGGGTGTTTTGGTTGTTAAGTCCTGACTTATTTTGTATAGTCCCGACTTCATTTGTATTGTTTTGTCACAGAATGCCAAAGGGGGAGTTTGTTAGGTCTAAAAGTGTAATTGGCGATTCTGTGGACAAAACGAGCTAAATTGTATAATTGTAAAAGTCAGGAACTTAATTGAACATTGGTGTAAAGTCACAGACCTAGGGTGCAATTTGTATAGATGAGGTAAATTAGTGTTCGAGTCGTTGAAGGAGTTCAACATGTCCAAGAAAATCACACAAGATCATCGGAATGCAATTGAAAGTCTAAAGGAAATCAAAGAGCCGCACAAATTATGTTCTGGATTTTTAGTTATAACTTGAAATGCATTTTCCACATAGAAAACGTTGGAATTTGGATAAGTCTATTTCTAGAAGAATTGTATCTCTTTGAGTTATATTTCCAACGCAACTTGAATCACCTCAATCAGACATCAGAAGAGAAAGTTATGATGAAAATACTAACAACTGCTCACTGTCACTCGCTTCTCGCTGGCATTTCGCTCAAGCGAAAAAAACATAATACCTCTCGCTTGAGTGACACTCCTATGCGGCAAAAACCCTATTTTGCTTTTTTGAAGTGTTTTACTCGGCCCATACCACCTAGACACTTTCAAATATAAATATTCTAGCCCTAGGACGAAATTGAAGAGGTTGCTACATTATTCTTTCATTGCAAAAGATATTCATAACATCCTCGAAGAGATCCAATGTGCAATTAATTGGAGATTTCATATACATCAATATTGTCATCCTACAACCATTGTTTTGGGTAAAAACATTGAATCTACATAACCCAAAACACCTTACTTCCTTAATCTATTGAGGAAGGGACTCTCTCATTGGAAGATTAAAAAAGGTGGATTGAGGCGCAGTTACAAGCACAAGAACAGACGGTTCTTGGTGTTCCACTTGGTGATACAATCAGTTAAGGACCAGGAGGTTGTAGTGGATAGCAGATTGGGCTGCAGGAGGTAGATCAGGAAGTCGAACAAGAGGCTAGAAGTATCTACAGTAGTAGATCGTGAGACTGGAACAGTGGGCTTGATTGGGTACAGAGTTTGGTATAACTTGTACTTGTTGAATTAGTATAGTGGAGGTAACTGGCTTGGTCTCAAAATTTTACCCACGTTGGGGTTTCTCCGTCATCATATTGTTTGTTATTTACTGCTTTGCTTAATATACAAACTACAGCATTCCAACATAGATTAATTGACTTGTATGATTATTCACCTAGACAACTAATTAAAGTGATTTGTTGCTTTAATTAGATTAATTTCGTACGTAAGGTTAAATTGGTTAAAGTGGAATCTAAAACGTAAATTTGGTAACGTATAAAATTTGAATTTGATACTGTATCACGTTAGTCGAACTTTCTAACATATCTAAGCGTTCTAGGTCAAAAAAAATTTCACCTACTTTTGGTCACGTGAACATATTTCCTCAAAATCAAGTAAATTTTTTTTTAGAGGAAGTATGATTTTATTTTCCAAGAAACTCGAGCTCTCTTTCTCTTTCTAATCTATCTACTATCTCTCATCTATCCGCCAATAAAAAAATGGATAAATATAATATTTTCTAAGTTAAAAATTAAATAAATCAAACACACTTAATTAACAATTTTCATGCAAATAAGTTTTAAGCAATTGAATTACTTAAAATTTATTTTCTTTCCATACAAATTCTATACTTGCAATCAAACTCACCATTAATGATAATAAATAGTTACGAAATTCATTTATTTATTTTTTACTTAAATGTAAGTTTTACCCTATTTTTTTCATGCTGCATTAAATTGTTTAAATTTTTATCTAAACTTAAAAAATTACTGGTGCATCGATAAATAAATTTTTTTCAAGTACTTTTATGATTAAAATTAGAAAGAAACTTTTACTTTTTCTTTCCTTCGGTTGAAAGACAGACTAGCATCTAATAATAGAGAAGGGAAAAGAAACACGTAATAATAGCTAGAGCCAGCGGTCACTGAGTAGCATCCGAGTTGGCACAATTTGTACGACTCAGAAAAAGCAAACACCGTGGACCCTACGCGTTATGAATCTCACTCACAACTCCCAATTTGAGGCGGTGGAATTCACGATTCCGTTTGCTTGACTGTCAACGACTCGTTTCAAGAAAATCGTCTGAACTTAACACAAAAATCTCTCTTTCATTTCCCATTTCTTGTTTTTCTTCTCGCGCTCTTCTTCTTTTTTTGTGATTGCGTTTTCCTGTAATTGAGAAAGGAAAGAGATTATTGAAGAAAAAGGAAATGCAGAAGGTGAAGGATCAGCGGTCAAGATCCTCAAAACCGACCACCATCCATGGCTTTGCCCAGTCTGGAGATCTCGTTGCCTTTCAAAAGCTACTTCGTGACAACCCTTCTCTTCTTAATGACAGAAATCCTGTTGTAAGCTCTCATTCTTTCTGTATATGTATTTGTTTGGTTAATGTGGACACGAGAAAGGGCCTTTTCAATCGATTTGAGAATCTTGATGATTTGTCAAGAACAAGATTTTCTTTTGAGTTTCCATTTTTAAGTTTCTTTGGCTTTGGATAGATGTAGATTAAAGAATCTGGGGTTTCGGTTTTGCTTTATTTATGACAACTTCTGTCTGCAATTTTGTCCGAAGAAGGAAAGCTTTAGTTTGCAACTGCAATTATCAATTTCTTTTTGTTGGTGAATGTTGAGAGATTTAGAATATTTACCAAGATTAATAAGGTTTGTTCTATTTTGTGTTGGACTACATACTCGGGCGCCTGTAAGATGCAGATAGTAGCATGTGATCAGTTGCATAATATTTATGCATTTGAACTATTGGCTGCTAAGGGCGAGATTTGATTATGGTTGATATTGGTGAAATCTTGAGCCATCCCAGATGCTTCTTTTTTAGTGCATCATTTTGCATGAATATGATCTTTAAGTTGGGGCAGGGGATAGGGATGCAGATGGGTAATTTATGCATGAAGATGAGCTTTAAGTTGGGGGTGGGAGAATGAAAATGGTGTCATGTTGTGAAGTGAATTTAGTGGGACATATGACAGCATGATAATTGAAGTCATTATGTTGTAGATGTTTGTTCTATGTATTACCAAGGATTTTCATCCTTTGCTGACTCTTTGTGTTAGCTTAACAAGGGTGGACTACTGATTCTATTTTGTTACTTCAAGCTTGCATGTTTAGCCTTGACAATAAGAATGCAATTCTTTCTACAACTTTCGAATTACTTTAGTTATTCATTGAGTCATTTCTTTGTCTTTCCTTTTGTCCATTACTTAGTGACAAAGATTGAAGCCTTGTTCCTAATAACTTGGTAGCGGTACTTAAAATTGTGATCCTGTACTGTTGATTACTATACCTCATCAAAGATTTTCGGCAACTACAAGGGACCATGCTTTTGTTTACCCCTCCCTCTTTAAACCTGTTCTATCAGAGAGTCTCACCACATGATTCACAATGCCCTTAATCTATTTTCAATGTCACCTCTACTCCTCACTTGGTGTCACTTCTATTTGTTAGTGTATTATTCTCATATCTTATCTTATTCTTTCTACTATGATTCGCATCAATGTTGACATCCTCAATTTCTACCATGTTCATCTCCTGAATGTCTTGTTATTGGTAGCGGTACTTAAAATTGTGATCCTGTACTGTTGATTACTATACCTCATCAAAGATTTTCGGCAACTACAAGGGACCATGTTTTTGTTTACCCCTCCCTCTTTAAACCTGTTCTATCAGAGAGTCTCACCACATGATTCACAAGGCTGGCGTTTTAATCTTATAGGAATCTTCCCATGACATTGTCGCATTCCAGAACTTCATTATATTTTATTTTGGCAAGGGTAAAGGTTTGATATTTGGTGTACTTTACATGAATACAAATTTTGTTCTTGCATAAATAATAATTTTGCACCATGCAATCACAATCTTTGGCTTTGATATATATTTTCCCCTTGCGCTAATAGAGTTGGGGTTACATTTATTTTGTTTCTCTTAGTGGAAGCTTCTTTTTCATGAAAAGACAACCATTGCAATTGGCATATCATTATTTCCAAAATATATGTTATAAAATATAAGTATGTTATTCTCTTTGTACTATATTTGGACTCTCCAAATCACCTACAAAATGCAGTTTTATTTGTTTACGTAAAAGAAGTTGTCATCACAATCTAATTGCTCGATTTGGATGTGATATTTTCCAAATTTGCTATGATGCAGATGGCACAGACACCACTCCATGTTTCCGCTGGTTACAGTAATGTTGAGATAATAAAATTTCTTCTTGATTGGCCAGGACCCGATAAGGTGGAATTGGAGGCCAAGAACATGGTGTGTAAAGTTTTTCCTTTTGTAATATTTTCTGTTCTTTTAGAATAAAGAGAATCCATTCCTGTGACCTCATTATATAGTTGCATTAAACTAAACTGGGCAGTATGGGGAGACTCCATTGCATATGGCTGCTAAGAACGGGTGTAATGAAGCTGTAAAGCTGCTTCTAGCCCGTGGTGCTTTTGTTGAAGCCAAAGCAAATGTAAGTCTTTTGCTTGTTACAACTTCAATTTAAGTTTGATTTTGACTTTCTTATTGATGTTTAGCTTTTTTATTTGGGAATCTTTCTGGCAGAATGGGATGACTCCTTTGCATCTGGCTGTCTGGCACTCACTTAGATCCGAAGACTACTCAACTGTCAAAACATTATTAGAGTCTGATGCTGATGGCAGTGCTGAAGACAATGTATATTTTATTTTCTTTCCATGTATCATTTCTTATAATTTACTGATGTTTTTCACTGCTCTTCCATGTACGTTCTTATTTGCTGTTAATTAAATATCATTTGAAATGCAGGAGGGCATGACTCCTCTAAATCATCTCTCTCAAGGCCCAGGAAACGAGAAATTGCGGGAATTACTCAATAAGCATCTTGAAGAGCAGCGAAAACGTAGAGCTATTGAAGCATGCAGTGAGACGAAAGCCAAGATGGATGCGCTTGAAAATGAATTATCAAATATTGTAGGCTTACATTCACTTAAATTACAACTTAGGAAATGGGCAAAAGGGATGCTCTTAGATGAGAGACGCCGTGCTCTTGGACTGAAAGTTGGACCCCGAAGACCTCCTCACATGGCCTTTCTTGGAAATCCGGGAACAGGTATCCTGTCCGTATGTTCTAAATTGTCACTCTTAAGCATTGTAAGCTTTAGTTCAAAGACGTTCATGTAACAGTTAGGTTTGTATGGCTTCAATTTTGGAAATCATTAATTTTTTCACAATTTTCCTGTTTTCAGTGAAATTTTGTTTAGTGCCCTTATCTAGATGGTTTGGGAGTTCTCTTGATTTTATTGTGAGCTTTCTCATTTTATTTTATTTTTCCTTTTTATTTTCAGGTAAGACCATGGTTGCTCGAATCCTTGGAAAATTGCTTCACATGGTGGGAATTCTTCCTACAGGCAGGGTAACTGAAGTGCAGAGAACGGATTTGGTTGGAGAGTTTGTTGGTCATACAGGGCCAAAGACTAGGAGAAAGGTACCTCCTCTTGCATCTGATATGTCTATTTCGTTACTGTTTATATCTTCTTGTGATTATATATGAGGTGCAACATGTAATGATATTGCAAGTCAAACTAGTTTCTCTTATATTTTTCTTTCCACGAGCGCCAGTCTTGCCCCCCAGGTACACCTAGCATGAGGGTTCATTGGGTGCCTATCCTTTGAGCGAGCAGCTGAGGCATCCACACCTTGGCCTTTCTTTTATGCGTATTTTCTTCAACGGCAACAGCTGTTTAAGTATGTTTAAACTCGACCCAAACCTGAGTACTAAAATATAAATAGTTGGATATTAGAGGATAAGAAGTTTCTATTTCTACAACTGAAGTGCAATCCCCAAGTAGAGTTGCAACTTTTTGACAGTAGGAGATTTGTGATACACAACATACATTTTGTCTTTCTTTTATACATACACATGTATATATACATATATATGCACATATACATGTATATATATGCACACACACATATACACACACACATATACATGTATATAGACACACACACACACACATATATATGTGTGTATCTATGTATATATACGTATGTATGTATGTATATTGGTTGTCATTGTGTGTGTGTTTTTTCTTTTTTACACGTCAATGGCAGCAAAGTTCTTAAATAGTTGGTTAGTTAATTTGCCTTTAGAACTTTAGTTCCACTTGTAAGTAAATGGTCTTCTAATGAGATTACTACTATGTTAATTTATTATTTTCTATGTGTTGATCCATTTTATGTTTTTTGCTGCAATTAGACTTTTAATTTTTTATCAAAACGCTTTTTATACATATTTGAATAGTTTATGGTTTATTATTAGTATAGTTTTGCATGTTTATAATTTTTTGAACTATTTATTGGTTTGAATTGATGATTACGCAAGCATCACAAGCAAAATGCCCTGACATATGATTTAGACATTGATTAGCAACTAAACTTAGCTAGATGTTTCCAGATCCAAGAAGGCGAAGGAGGCATTCTATTCGTGGATGAAGCCTACCGCTTGATTCCCATGCAGAAGGCTGATGATAAAGACTATGGATTGGAAGCATTAGAGGAGATAATGTCCGTCATGGACAGTGGAAAAATCGTAGTAATTTTTGCAGGTTACAGTGAACCAATGAAGCGTGTAATATCTTCAAATGAAGGTTTCAGCCGAAGGGTGACCAAGTTTTTTCATTTTGATGACTTTAGCTCGGAAGACCTTGCCAGGATTCTTCATCTTAAACTGTCTAAACAAGATGAGAATAGCTTGTTATATGGATTCAAGTTGCATCCTTCATGTACTGTAGATGCTCTTGCAGAAGTTATAGAACGAGAAACTACTGAAAAGCAGCGCAAGGAGATGAATGGAGGTTTAGTCGATCCAATGCTCGTTAATGCCAGAGAAATCTTGGATCTGAGGCTCAGTTTTGATTGTATAGACACTGATGATTTACTTACGATAACATTGGCCGATTTAGAAGCTGGGCTTCGGCTGTTGAAACAATGAGTGGCCATAAGCTGAAAACAAGGAAGAAAAGGTGACGAGAAGTTTAAATGAGCAGAAGTGGTAGCCATATTGGGTTCAGACTTTCTCTATGACTGCATAGAGTTTACACAGGTCAAGATAAAGGGATGCACATTTGTGGAATTACCTTTTATAAGTTCTTAATTAATTGATGCCTTTTCAGTTTATAATTGTAAACTTAGTTCGTATAGATTGCATTTATATTTTTTTTCTTTCCCAGTAGGTCTGGGAATTGATACTATTTTTTGTTGTATTTTATATTCTTTATGAAATATTCAATTTCTGGTTTATTGTTATATTTAAAACACTATTCTCTAAAATTTCTGACACATCAGAGCTAATTTGATAGAATAATTCGAGCTGGTTCCACTTCATGTGAGAAGGTGGCACCCTTATATACAAAAAATTATGTACCACTAGCATGATTATGATAGAAATATTCATAACAATAAAAATTAGCCCTTGTTTGATTTCCATTTTGAGGAAAATAATGCATTTCCAATAGTAAATTGATGGAGAATATGTAGTTAAAAATTAAAGAAAAGTTTTGAATTTTTGTGTATTATTATTTTATTGAATAATGTGTGGTTGAAAATAAATTTTGTAAAAACGAATTTTTAGAAGAATGAAAATCAAATAAGGGCTAAGGGATAATTGCAACAAAAGTTCCAAACCTTTGAGACACTAACAAACTTTTACCAAATTTTTGATTTATTACAATCGTCACCCTTAATTTTCAAACATTGCAAGAAAAGTTCTTTTAGACGGTTTTCATCCACAATTGTGCCAGTTGATCAAAAATTTAACTTTGATCACATTACAATGGTAAAATGGTACTTTCATATTTACCACGTTAAATAACAAAACAAATAAAATGTAAAAAACTTGGGTTTTCATATTTACATTGAGATCTTGTCAAATGAGCTGACATTATAGAACAAGTATAATGCCAAGGGAGAAAATGTAATGCTTCCATCAATTATGTTGTGTGTAATAGAACCCCTAAACACACTCACAATAGAGTGAGACCCGCCTGTATAAAAAAATGCCCAAAACCCCACCCATGTTGTGAGTGTTTCGGTATGGGCTCACTGTACCTCAAACATTTCCCATCCTCCCATAAGTGAATTTTGATCAATTCCGAGTGGGTTCTCAATTTTTTACATTAATATCATATGTATGTATCTATCTTTGAACAAATGCTTGACCTGTAAGACGTGATTTGAAGGGTTGGGTGGATTTGGGAAGAAGAAGGTACAATTTTTCCATCTTTTTATTTTTTGTTTTTGTTTTGGTTTGTTATTTAATGTGGTAAATATGAAAGTAACATTTTACCCTCATTAAAATTGAATACAATGTGGTCAAAATAAATTTTTGATCGATTGACGGAATTGTGGATGGAAACCGTTTAAAAGAGCTTCTTTTACAACGTTTGAAAAAGTTAAGGGTGATGGCTGCAATACATAAAATGTTTAGGAAAAATCTGCTAATATTTAAAAGGTTTATTCCAAAACATTATGATAGAAGCAAAGCTTCACATAATTATTCCCTGGATAAAGAAGTTCATTAACATTAGAAAATCATAAATTCATTCAATGAAAAAGAATGGAGTTCATGAGTTTATGTCATTAAATTTGACAGAGTGGGAAAATGTAATGAACATATATGAATTAAAACACTTGAATGGATAAAGTAATAAAATTTAGCGAGTGAAATCATAACCTTGAGAAAGTTTTATTAATTTATGAATGTCAAATCGATAGAAAATAAAATGAGACATGGGAAATTTATAAGGAAAAAAAATTGAATTCTTGTAAACAACAAAATTGAAAAACGACTAACCACTTGTTAGCTGGAATTTTGTTACAAATTTGAAGCAACATGCTTGAATATAGACCGCATACCTCGGGTCAACATGGCATAGGACAACGATTTGGCTGCTTTGTGTTTGGTACTCGATTGATCTAGTTCACACTCCTAATTAAAATTTAATATTGGAATCTACTTATAAGTACTTTCTAAAAATAATAATTATAAGTTGGTTAATAATAAGAAATTAAATAAAAAATGGAAACAAAAAAAGTCACGTGACTAGAAAGGAAAGACGACCCACTTCTTTTTTGTGCTTTTTCCCTTTAGTTATATATTCCACCTTTGTGAAAGGGGAGACATCAATTGGGGAAAATGGAAGGGAAGTAATTAGTTTTCAGTGTACTTTCTCTTTCCCAATTTCTGAAGTAATACTGGGTTTGGAAGCATTAACGAATGTTTGGCTAAGCTTAAAAACTTGCTTATAAGTAAATCAACTGAACTTAATTATTAAGTTTTAGCCCATATTTGAATCTCATTTTTTTACGAACTTATTTTTCAAGAAACTCATTTCAAATACACGTTTTTTCAATAAAATAATTTTATACGTAAATTCATTTTTTCTACGTTTTAATCACGCATTCCAAAAAGAATAACTTTTAAAAAATTTATTTTAAATAAACCCCCGTTTGACAACCATATGAGGGTTTTAAATAAAATATATTTTGGAATAATAGTTTTTGGGAGTTTGTGTGGTTAAAAAATAATGATTTTTTTATTTACGTATAATATTATTTTGTTGGAGAATGTGTGATTGAAAAAAAAAAGAGGAATAAAAAAGAATCAAACAAGGGTTAGGGACTCAAACATGGGTTTATTATAAGCCCATGTTTGGTGTTGATTAAAATCTAATTTTAATTTAAATCAAAATCAAGCAATTAATATTAATCATATCTTTTGTGCGTGCCATAACTTTTCAACAATATATTTCAAAAATTTCAATCACAATCTACTAAAAAATCTAATTTTAATCTCTACCAAACACCCTCTAAATATTTTTTTTGATTGGTGAAATGTAGAAGCAAGTGAGTTATTTATTCCGAAACTAATTATTAAATAATTCCACTTGAAAAATCATGTGTTTGATTATTAAATGCAGAGTAATGTTATTTAGTAGCAGTAATGTTAACCACTAGTCTATATGGCAACGATCATTAGATAATATGATCATGTACGGATATTTAATACCAATGTGAAAAATAACATTATTTTCAATAGTGGCTGTAGACTCCGCTATTATTTAAATTGGTGATGATTATTACTTGTAATATATAATATTATTCTTTTATTAAAGACTCTTATTTTAGAACTTGTACATTGATCTTGATCATCGAACACAAGCAATGGATGAGCAATTTTATTATTATAATAATTAATACTTTTTGCTTATAAGTAGGAAAATTAGTGAAACTAAAAAAAAAATTGTTATTAAACTTATGTTTCTAGCCCTTTTTAAAATAGTTTTTTGGGGGGAAAAAATAAAAAGCTTATATGTAAAATATATTAATATTGTATGAATATGTTATTAAAAATGAGAGACAAATAAGAGTTAAAGTCAATCAAACGTGTTGGTAATAAAAGGTATTTGCAAGTAGGAAAATGAAAGGGGTGTACTACAGGAATAGGAGGGCAGTCTAATCGAACCCCACAAACAGGGAGGAGGGTCCATTTTTTTTTGGTGGGCCCCACCCTCATTTGTGGGCCTTCTGTCAGGGAGGTGGTCTATTATATGAGCATTTTCCAAAATGAAATTCAAAGTCATTTTCACTATCTTTTGTAGATTATGGAAAAAAAAAATGAAAAAAAAAGGGAAAAAAATGAAAAGAAAACTGTCATTTATTGTGAATAATCAATTATAAAAATTAAAAAAAAAAATCCAGGCTCATCTCGCTTTCGCCGACCAATAAAAGAGCTACAGTCTACAGCTGACTAATCACATCAATTAATTTTATTTACATTTTGATATCAGGTATCAGTCGTTTTAATTCTCCCTAGTTGTTCTCTCTGCACAGAGAAAAAGGAAAAAAAAAAATAATAACTTAACTAGTTGATTGATATTTGATGCTACATAAACAAGAAGTTAAGCTACAGATCTAGAAAGAGAAATAAATTTAAGGTATATGGAGATACACACACGTGGAGAGAGAGAGGTGGTATAGCATCGAGGGTAGAAAAGGTTGGTTTTTTCTACGACCCAGAAAACCCTAGCTCTTTGTGCATTGTTGAAATCTGGATCATTTATAGAGTGAACCCATCTTCTAATTTACTTGGAAGTGTGCTCCAGATCTGGGAACAGTACCATTTGTTCTTGTTTTGCAGGTTTTGAGTAAAAGAGAGATTTTTTATAGAGAAAAGCATAGATGCTTTTTTGATACGTTACAGGTATTTTGAGTTTTGAATTTTGAAGGTTCGTTTGTCAAGAAAGTTATTATTATTATTATTATTATTTTTTTGGTTGCTGTGGCATAACGAATAATTATTATTTTTTGTATTATGGGACGGAGTGGAATTTCAAAATGACTTTTTGCTTGAATGTTTTAGCGTGGAAGGCAGAAAAGAAGGAAACTTTGTATGGTCTTGGATCCTCACGAGTCATTTTCCGTGGTTACTTGCGTAGATTTGAGCTGGAGTGGTTGGGGGTGCCTGGAGGCGTCACTATGTCGTCCTTGAGTAGGGAACTGGTTTTCTTAATCCTGCAGTTCTTGGACGAAGAGAAGTTCAAGGAGACAGTACATAAGTAAGTCCTTTTGTTGCTCTCTCCTTGGCTTCATTTGTTACTTTCTTGTTAAAGCTAATTGATTATGTACTTGCTAATGAAATGCAATTAGTGCATAGGGAGTAAAACATGAGTTATAAGCTTTGCATTGTGTGAGACTTGTCGAAGAACACTCTTCACTCTCGGTTGAACTTAGTTTAATAGTAATTTGCCTCCATTAAGGTAGGTAATAAGGTTGAACATGAAATTTAAGCATCCTATCTTTCTCCTAGGCAAAAAAGCTAGAAAAGAAAAGATGGTATCTTTATTTGTTTTCAGTTCTCCGTCATAAAAACTATCAAGAAAATTTTGTAACATCTATTGTGTGATCAGTTTTTGGTTTGTCAACTAAAATTAATTGTTGCTATTGTCTTTGGAATACGTGTAAAATGAACATAGGTTGGAGCAAGAATCTGGTTTCTTCTTCAATATGAAGTACTTTGAGGACCAAATTCAAGCAGGTGAATGGGACGAAGTTGAACGCTATTTAAGTGGGTTCACCAAGGTCGAGGATAACCGCTATTCGATGAAAATTTTCTTTGAGATAAGAAAGCAAAAATATCTTGAAGCTCTTGATAGGTAAGTTTTGTCTCAAGTGGCCTGTTGATCTTTGGACGTTGATAATTGTTATCATTAATTGCGTGTGATGCTTTTCAGACAAGACCGAGCGAAAGCTGTTGAGATTCTTGTGAAGGATCTCAAGGTGTTTGCATCTTTCAATGAAGATCTTTTTAAGGAGATTACCCAGCTTCTAACTCTTGACAATTTTAGGTAATCAAAGGCTTAGTTGATTAGTTGTAGTGTAGCTTTTGATCTTATCAGTAATTCGTTCCTTTTATTTTTTTGTAAAATGTCTCTAGGCAGAATGAGCAGCTCTCCAAATACGGGGACACAAAGTCAGCACGAAATATTATGCTGGTTGAATTGAAAAAGCTTATAGAAGCAAATCCGTTATTTCGTGACAAGCTCGCCTTGCCTTCTTTCAAAGCATCACGCTTGAGGACATTGATCAATCAAAGGTTAGCTAATGTTCAAAAATAGAATTTGATTCAATTAGCTAAATGCTCTCTTTCGTTCTATTTGTGTATTGCACCTGCATGATGGTGTAATATCTATAGATGTTTATTATTGGCATTGCTTTTGCAATTGGTAAAACATACTGCTTAGGCTGTTTTAAAGCCTTCATGATGGTTCAGTTTCTCCTTGTCATTTCTCTCATTAAGTTTAGCTTCGTTAAATTTTCTTCTACTTGGATTTGCAGTCTAAACTGGCAGCATCAACTTTGCAAGAATCCGCGTCCAAACCCAGATATAAAAACACTTTTTACCGATCACACTTGTGCTTCTAGTAATGGCACACGTGCTCCTACTCCTGCTAATAACCCTCTTGCTGGGCCAATTCCAAAGCCTGTTGTTTTTCCTCCTCTTGGAGCTCACGGTGTAAGTTGAATGGTTGCTTTTGCCTGCAAACCTATGATTTCATTTTTTGCGTCTCATTTGCTCTAACATTCTGACTGCAGCCATTCCAGCCAATTCCTCCTCCAAGTGCCATGGCAGGTTGGATGTCGAGTGCCACCCCTTCAATTCCTCATGCAGCTGTTGCTGCAGGTCCTCCTGGTCTTGTTCATGCTTCTAGCTCTGGTCAGTTGTCTAATTGTAAGCATAAACTTGGATGCAATTGTTGAGATTTTCATTCTTTTTCTTGAGTTGTTTGATAATATTACCTTTGCTGTGTTGTAATCCTCAGCTGCATTTCTGAAACATCCGAGGACTCCACCAGGTGGTCCTGGATTGGATTATCAAACTGCTGATTCGGAACATTTAATGAAACGCATTCGCACTGGCCAATCAGATGATGTGTGGAGCATTAATCCATTCCCTGTTTTTCTCCAATTATTGTCTTACTATCAGTATTGATTCTTTATATTCTTAACCTCTGTATTGACACACCATGCTATATTTTCTAGGTGTCCTTTCCTGGTTCGTCTCATCCTCCTAATATTTATTCACCAGACGACCTTCCTAAAACTGTTGTACGGAACCTTAGCCAAGGATCTAATGTTATGAGCATGGACTTCCATCCTCAACAACAGACTGTTCTTCTAGGTTGATCCTAGATTGATTTTTAACATTGTGCTTCTTTTAACTTGCTCAAAAGTTCTGATAGAGTTGTGTTTTTGGGCAAGACAATGATCTAGATTTTGAAATTTTATAGATGATAAATTCATATTGTTGATCTCTGATACATGACCGCCCATCATTTACTTTGCAGTTGGAACAAATGTTGGTGACATTAGCATTTGGGAAGTTGGTTCCCGAGAAAGATTAGCTCTGAAAAACTTCAAGGTTTGGGATATATCAGCTTGTTCAATGCCATTCCAAGTGAGTATTTACTTAAAACTTTAAGTTCCGGGGGGTAAAAATTTATGATTTTACTCATTGGTAGCCTTTTTAGCCTGAGTAGCATTGAAATGTACTTTTGACTTGTAAAAGAGATTTAGAAACTGCCATCCCCCTAAGAAAAACCTGCTCATGTTATAGGTTACTTCCATAAATTCAAAAGCTCATTCATGGGACCAAGTGTTGCATTACACAAAAATATGGTATTGTCAGATAAGGTTCTTTCGTAGCATCGCAATGAAAATTGAAAGGTAGGGTTAGAACTACTAGACAGCTATAGTACTTCGATAATGTTCTTTGTTGAAAACATATTGCAACAATGGGGCCAATGCACTAGATCACATTTGCTTTTTCTGTTGTGGAAAATGTAGCAAGTTAATGATACTGTTGTAGCTGGCATTCATGGTGGAGGTCACACAGGAAGAAAAAGTTCACAGTTTAGAATTGACTGGCTGTGGATAAAAGTTGCAGTTGCTGAATGTATAGTGCATTGAGTTAAGCGGCTCCCCAGGAATTTATTTATTTGTGGAAACACAAAAAAATGATATCTTTGAATCAGAATTCTGTTGGTATTTCATATTCATGAGCACAACGGATGAAGAATTCAGGACCTATATCACTGGAATTAGTTCCTCTACCATCAGTATCAAACAACTTTAGAAGTAATTAAATTAACCAAAAAATAAAATAAAAATGATAGGAGCATTTAAAAACCAAAATTTTCAAAATTGATGATCCTAAATCCTGATGACTCTCCTAAAAGATTAGTCAACTTTCTGAGGAAAGCAATGGTAGTGCTGAACTCAAGGTAGATTGATATTTCATTGGGGCCAGATTTATGCCAACAGTCGGCCTTTCCACAATTCTGTAATGCCAGTGGTTTCTTCATGTAAAATTGTGGCTTCTATGCCTGTTAACCGAGCGAGTAGCTTCTGTAGTCTATACACCATGTGAAATATGCTCTAATTGAGTACTTGTAACAAAATTGAATCGGTACAAGTAAATGAATGTTGATGGAAACGGAGAGAATCTGACAAAGACCTACATGTATAAATTTGACCAGATGTAAGTAGTGATACTAAAACCAAGAGTATGTTGTGTAAAAATATCAGACAATTTTAACAATGTTATATCATTAATAACGAAAACTTTATTTAAAAAGCTCCTTAGTAACATGGGGTATTAGATTACTTTAACTTGAGCCTGTTTTGCTAACTGGGAGACTCAGTATTTCTTCTTTTAATGTCAAGCTTTTGCTGCTCATGGCTTAGTCGGTTTTGTGACTTCTGTCCTCTGGAGGTGATATTTATACATTTCCTTTAAGAAGTGTGGCATTATGACTGAAGTATCTTGGGATTGACTTGCACATTTTATTTTTTATTTTTTTTACGTTGTGCTGGCAAACTCTTGCAGAAAATTCTTTATTCTCTAGTTCTGATAATATTACCTTTGTTGCCTGGTATCACTTGTGTGAGAAGACAGTTTTCTTGGGAGTTAAATAAATAACTGTCAATTTTTTTATTTTTTTTGTTAATATCATAATCCATTCAGACTATTCTCTTGTGGAACAAGCAAAGAAGGCGAATCCCACCTTGTTGAGTGGAATGAGAGTGAAGGAGCCATCAAGAGGACATATTCTGGTTTTCGGAAACGTTCTTTAGGTGTTGTACAATTTGACACAACAAGAAATCGTTTCTTAGCTGCTGGCGACGAATTTCAGATAAAGTTTTGGGAGATGGACAATACCAGCATGCTTACTTTCACTGATGCTGATGGTGGATTGCCTGTTAGTATCTCTAATAAATGAGGCCCTTACTGCTTGATACATTTATAGTCTTGAATGTTTGGAATTCCTAGATTTGCTTTGTAATTCTATTTCCATTGCAGGCAAGCCCCAGATTAAGATTTAATAAGGAAGGGTCGCTTCTGGCCATTACAACTAGTGATAATGGAATTAAGATCTTAGCAAATAATGATGGGCAACGCATGCTGAGAATGCTAGAGAACAGAGCATTTGATGGAGCTCGAGGTCTTTCAGAATCAGTCAATGTCAAAGTAATTTTCCATTTTGTTTTATAGTTTGTTTTATCTGTCATGATACATGTATTTGGTCTTGATTTCTCCTTCGCAACTTTTTCTGCAGCCTTTGATTGCTGGTGGTTTAGGTCCAATCCCTAATGCTTCTGCCTCTGTTGCTCCAATACTGGAACATACTGATAGAATTCAACAACCCGCGTCCCTTGGCAATCTGGTATTCTTTTATCCTTCATCTCCTCCGCCCAAATTGAAAGCAACCATCAGAGTTTTGTTTTTCTTTTGCGTAACTTATCTGGACAATCATAGGCTACCATGGAAAGCAGCAGAGTTGCTGATGTAAAACCAAGGATTTCTGATAATGTTGACAAAATCAAAAGCTGGAAGTTTCCTGATATAGCCGATCCGTCTCAACTCAAGACTCTGAAGTTGCCTGATCCTCTGACAGCTAGCAAAGTAAGTTTTATAATTATATCTAGAAATCTGAAAATTGTTTCTAGTCTACTTGGGAAGGCATTTGACTTTTAACAGAAAACATTATTTTCAAATTTGTCTCTGCTTGTCTTGGTTACTGATGTTGAGTCCAATTTCCTAACGTGTTAGCATCTTTGTCCCAAGCTATGAATGCTTTATTTCCAGTAGTTTTTAGTGCCTTTTGCCCCCTGTTGACCATTATATATTTTGATGTTACAATGTGTATTGTACTGCAGGTTGTACGGTTGCTCTACACAAATTCTGGACTAGCTTTATTAGCTCTGGCTTCCAATGCCGTTCATAAGCTCTGGAAGTGGCAGCGCAATGAACGCAATCCATCTGGGAAGGTTAGGATTTAGTATACATTTTATGTTGATTCATGATTTCTTGTATTCTTGTATTCTTCTAATCTAAATTCTTCCATATATACTGTTTCAGTCTACTGCATCCAGTGTGCCCCAGTTGTGGCAGCCTACTAGTGGGGGTCTCATGTCTAATGACTTAAGTGATGCTAAACCAGCTGAAGAGTCAGTTGCTTGTATTGCCTTATCTAAAAATGATTCTTATGTCATGTCTGCTTCGGGTGGGAAGGTCTCCTTGTTCAATATGATGACCTTCAAGGTTTATTAGCATCTTTGCTTGAGACTGTCTGAAAATTTTCTTTGCTATGATCCCTTGATGGCATTGCAACATGTGGGTGCATGCATTTTAATATAACTAAATGGAATACATATATTCTGAATAGGTCATGACGACTTTCATGCCACCGCCCCCTGCTGCCACCTATCTTGCGTTTCATCCTCAGGATAACAATATTATTGCTATTGGAATGGAGGACTCCACTATACAAATATACAATGTGAGGGTTGATGAGGTAAACATCCTTTGTCATTGTTCAAGACTGGGTTGTGTTGAAACTGACAATATCATACTTCTATTTGGATTGTTAATAAAGGAATCCGATTCTTGTATTATCAAAATCAAAAGAACCATTTCTTCTTTTTAACATGAGTCTTAGTCGCATATAAATCCTTGCTCAGGAGGATTTTATTTTATATTTATTGGTTTCATCTTATGGTTGAAGCAAGAAACAGAAGAAGCTGTGAAGTAAGAAACAGAAGACACTGCTTATAGTCTATTTTTAGCGAGAAAGCTGGGCTCTATTTCAGATTAGAATTGCATGTTACTTTTTATTCTCTTTGGCAGTTTGCTTCCATGTATAATAGCTTTTTGAATGATCTAGTCAAGTGTGTGACCTTTTTGTCTGTTTTTTTTTAAGCTAGTTTAGGAATTATCTATCATTGATTTTCGAGGTCAGCTATTTAAGATAGGTTAATGATGAGTTAGATGTTTTTCATTGTAATTATGATCTTTAAATGCTCTGTTTTGCAATATGTGGAGGTATTGTTGTTCTGTCCCTTGAGATTTTTTACCAATTGATATCTTGGTGCGACTGTATCCTTTGTTTTTGGACATGCATTAGGTTAAGATCAAGCTCAAGGGTCATCAGAAGCGAATATCAGGGCTTGCTTTTTCTCAGAGTCTGAATGTATTGGTATCATCTGGAGCTGATGCTCAGGCAAGTCCCATTTGATGACCTTAAACATTGTTCCTTTTTTGCCAATTTTTGTGGAATGTCTTTCTCATGTGTATTGCTTATTGCTTTATAGAATGTTACAAGGCTAATTAAGGACACAAAGTTTACATGGAAACTAGCTGCTATTTACAAGGAAACTAGTAACTAGTTAGTAAATAAAAATTTCTCGCCAGGCATGGTGTTGAGTTGGTAGCTTATTGCTAGAAATTTTTATACTAATATGGTTGGTCCCAACTATGATTGCAGCTCTATGTCTGGAATATTGATGGGTGGGAGAAGAAGAAATCGCGGCCCATACAAGCGCCCCCTGCTCTCCAAACTCCTCTGGTTGGAGAAACTAGAGTTCAGTTTCATAATAATCAATCTCATCTGCTAGTTGTTCATGAAAGCCAAATTGCAGTTTATGATACTCAACTTGAATGCTTGCGTTCGGTGAGCATCTAACTCCTCACTCTTATATTTCTGGGAAAATGTTGTCAACCACTTTTGATGATCTAATCACTGGAAATTCTTGGCTGTGAAGACTTCATCATTATATTCTTGACTCTAGTTTGTCATCACAATTAACTTTAGTTTTTACATCAACTCTCTCTTTAGCATATAAAAGGTTTTCTGTGATTATTTTCTTTGTTTTGTGGTTTATAGATTCTGAGATACGAAATTTTAACGATCAATGGACTATTTCTAACATTTATTGGAAATAGTAGAGGAACTACAAATCCACAAAAATGCATTTCTTTCCATTTGATCTGAGAACAAATTAGGGTGTGTTTGATAGGGTGGGAATGGAATTGGAAGATGGAATTGGAATTGAATTTTTCAACTTTAGGTGTTTGATACATTTTTTTATTTTTTCCATGGAATTCGAATTCTTGGTTGTCTTTAAGTTTGCACTTTTCTTGATTTTTAAGGAAAACCAATTATGGTGGGAAATTGGTTTTCCTACCTACTGTAGCATTATTATTATTATTATTATTTTGTGTTGGCAATGGAAACAAATTCTAAGAATTATTGTAAAAAAATATTTCCCTTTAAATGACAATTTTCATGTAAAATAAAGCCAAACGAACATCAAAAGATAGATGATTTTCTTAAAATTTTTGTTTTTTTTTTTGTGTGTTGGTAATGAAAACAAATTTAATCCCCAATACCAGTAAAATCTATCCCATTTAATTAATTTTCATGTAAAACAAAATCAAACGAACATAAAAAAATACTTTTATTTGAACATTTTCCACGTGAAAAATTATACCAATCAAACACAATAATTTACAATTTTCAGGAAAACAATTCTAGACAATTCAATTTCCTGAAATTCATTTTCTAGATAATTTAATTCCATCTTTACAATCAAACGGACCCTTAGTGAAAAGGCATACCCTTAAACCCTTTAGATGTAGAGGCCTGTTACAATACCAAAACAAGGTTGCCTTCTAGTTAAAATTAACTTTCTTTCCTTAAATATTATTCATAACCATTTCATATTCTATGGCACACAAACTCAGTCTGTTGAATGTAATAATCAGCCTCATTAGCCTTAGCAAATTCACAATTTAAAAGCAGTTGATCAGTACATTCCAAATCCTTTCTCCTTATTATGGATCATGAAGGACAAATTAAAAAGATTTGGATGTATCATTTGAACCAAGTCACAGGTTTGATCTTCCTATGAGAAAACAGTCAATTTCCTTGTAATTCCGTAAAAGGTAGATGACTGCTAAATAAATTTATAAGGTACAAACATTGGGTAACAGGGAAATTAACTAAAGATTGGGAATATGACTTTCAGGATAGTATATACCCAAGGAGTCCAATGTCCAGGATTTTTTATCTAAGGAAAAGGCTTGAAGTAAATAATTTCAAGAATAGCTAACAAGGAAGACAAGTTTGAAAATTCCTGTCACGAAGGTTCTAAAAATCAGAAAGTTTCAATTCATGTTTCCATCATCAGAAAGCAAACCGACAGAATTAAGAAGAAAATTTCTGAACAAAGATTGATTATATAATCTGGATATTGTTGACAAATAAGCACTCCCATTCTAAGAGTCTTCCCAGAACTGAATCTTATCCTCCATTCCCACATCATGTGATGTTAACAAATCATATGTGGATATTTGCATTTTAGGATTCAAAATCGCTACAACCAAATTTGATTACCGTTTGTGTTCTTGGGTCCTGAACATAGAATTCAATGTATAGTTGATGATCTTCGTGAAGGTTCTTTGTCAGTGCGTTGAACATGTATATAGAAAATTTATAAAGAGCTGTGGAGAGAATGCTGAAGGCTGTTAGTCAATTGTGTTCAGGTACAAGAAATGTACCACTGCAAACTGGTTCCCAGTGCAGCAATATTCTTATCAATCTAAAGATTTGACAGTCATTCAAGGGGTCATGTATGCACTGTTTTTCCTAATTTCATTTTGCTGTCCCTGCCTTACCACTTGCTTTCCTTTATATGTAATTGCTCATCCACATTCCCAAGTATGTCCAAAACGTTTCATATTGACTTTCTCCATTCTGTAGCTTGCTATGAAGGCATACAAAAATATGTGATGTTACCTACTTATTTTGTATGTTCTTAAATACCCAATGCTGTCATTAAAGCAGTCACCTATAAACCACAGCTAATCTTATGTAGATAAATGTTTGATCCCTTAACTATTCCACTGCTGATGCTTCGATGACAATTAAATTCCACATTTTTCCTTGGTACTACTCTCTGGGCTTAACTGAATATTCTTTCATAACGTGGTTTTAGATTTGTTGTTGAAATTCTTTTTATGGGTCTGGTAATGTGGATATTACTGATAGTTAAAGGAATTGTTCTGTGGTTATAAGAATAGTAGTGGAGGGCCAGGGTTCTTTCATATGCAACAATAACATGATGACCAAATACTATATGATGATTTAGATAGCTTGTGTGAGATACATTGCATTGATACAAGATGGTTTGTACATGGTTCTGAGCTTATGGTTAACTATTAGGAGTGTAAACGTGTTTTCATGGCTAATTGTTTTTCGCTATGAATTGTTGGAATGTCAACCAAAAAGAGGTGTAGACATAAGAAAACATTAAAAGAACTGAAGCATAGATGGAGTGTGTTCGTTTTGCTTATTAAACTGGTAGGGTCTGCTAAACGTGAGTGAATTATCCAAATGGTCATTGAACTTTGCAAAATGTTTTCACAAGGTCACTGAACTTTAAAAATCATCCAATTGATCATTGAACTTTGTAAAAGGTTTTTACGGGATCATTGGACTTTAAAAATCACCAAATTCATCATTGAAAGTGATCCTTGGGAAACCATTTACAGAGTTCAGTGATCTCGTGGAAATTTTTTGCAAAGTTCAGTGACTCCGTGGAAACCTTTTTGCAACGCTCAGTGATGAATTTGGTGATTTTTAAAGTTCAGTGACCCCGTAGAAAGTTTTTACAAAGTTCAGTGACCATTTGGATAATTCACTCGCTAGACGTTGTTAACTTTCAGTATTGCATAAAATTGAGCATCTATGTCGTACCACTATCCCTCTGTGGGATGAGATGAAGCTAATGTCAAATGACAGAACGGCCTATTATCAGAACCTGTAACACTAATTCATAAACTTAGGCAGGCTACAACATCAATCTCTCTAGTGTTTTCTTGCTGCGGCTTTTTACTCCCTATACATGACTGGACAATTTTGCTTACAGCAATTCAACTGGAAAATAGTGGTACAACTAAAAAAATTTCATCCCCAGTTGGGAGGATCATTTTGGATGATATCTAACTAGGAAGACAATGATCTAGCATCATTAAGCTTAACAATGCACATCATCGTTTTTTCACCTTTACCTGTGAAATTTTTATATTGATTTTAAGTGAATAATTCCTAGCCTTTAGTTCATGTCTGGTATGCTATATTGGACATGGCTGGACAGTATAGTGAACAAGATGTTAGCTTCTTTTTCTTTGATACTGCTCAGATTTATTCACTCTTCCCTGCCAAACGTGCCATTAGTGTTGTTGCCTAGATTCTTTTTCACCCGATAAAGTTCCACTGAAATTATGAATGTCTCGTTGATTTTGGGGCAACAGACTTTTTTGGGAAGAAGTTAATAAAAAATAACTTTTTTTTTTTTCCCCTTAAGCTAAGCCAAACATGTTTCGGAATATTTTGACTTGTTTAATTGTGCAGTAGCAATGGCAATGCCTTCCCTGTGGTGATTGCTGCACATCCATCAGATCCCAATCAGTTTGCCCTTGGCATGAGTGATGGTGCAGTTCATGTGATGGAGCCAACAGATGCAGAGACGAAATGGGGTGGATCGACCTCTCAGGACAACGGGGCTTTGCCTTCAATTGCTTCGAGTTCTGCATTGAATGGTCAGCCATCTGAAACCCCGCCCAGATGATTTTGAAGTGTCTCAAGGGAAAAACTAAGGTTTAACATCCACCTTTTTTGGCCTATGATTGTAAAGTTTATATAATCATCTCTCTTGTTCTCCTGCTCTTAGCACATTGTTGGGTTTCTAGGCCACGGCTGCATTTTCTTGGTTTATTCTTTTACTTCATGCTGCGTATTGTTCTGCTAATCCTTGCAAAGAAAAGGTACCTATTACACTCGTTCATATATATATTTTTAGAAAAATACTTTTGATTAATTTCCGTTGACTATATTTAGTGTTCTAGTTTATGATCAATATATGGTAAAAAGATGCGATTATAATCACTCGACTTCAATTTGTTACAATTTTTTCAATTAAAATTTAATTTTGGTATCAATTTCATCTCACACAAGTGTAAAAAATTGTAACCCCACCTCTACTTGTACTTTTCTATAAATAAAAGAGGTAAAGCTCGATATCTGCTAATGTTATTTATAGTGAAAACTATCAGTAATCTTCTTGTGCGATTACTCTAAATACTTTTGTTGTACGAACACTTTGTTATTTGACGTATAAAGCTTTTTAGTTGTCTTATACATCAAGTTTCCGTTTGGCTTCCATTAATTTTCATTTTATTATATTTCATTTTTCTCTTTCATTTTCAACTACAAATTTTTTTATAAAATAATATTATACGTAAATTGAAAATTTTTCCTTTAGAAAAACACTATTCTACTCGTTCTTATTTTCACAAAATAGAAGCCAAACGAGAATCAAATAATAAAATGTCACATGTATGTCACATATTATCGGTAATTCTCGAAAACACAGTAGCTGCTGCCCAACAAATTTGTTTTCTGTTTTTTAACTTGTTTCACGTGCATTTAGCCTCTGTTTGGTTCCCATTCTTTTTTAATTAAAATGAAAAATATGATAGTTATTTATCACATCAAGTCACTAAATTTGAATTTTTATCTCGTGTGGGGTTCATAACGGTTATATTTTTAATTCTCATTTTTTTGAAAATGAGAAATAAACGGGGGTTTAATAATGTTGGACCTCTAACATTGTGTTAATTAATATTTCTAGTGCAGTTGGTGGACTACACGTCAAAATATTATGAAAAAAATCTAAATAGCCGAATCGACCAGAAGGTATTCCACCGGTTTATTAATTTGCCACTCTGCATATTTTATTGTTATCAAATTTAGCTTTTAACCTAAACGGTGTCGAAAAAGAGATGTTGGGCGGTGCAGTTGGAGAGATCCCATGTTTGTGGGGTCTACGCAATAGAAAATAGAATGACCCACCTTTAAAATTCACCACCACCCTGGTGGCCCACCCTACGTCAAGTGATAAGAGTTCAAAATTCAAATATTTTGTCTTGCTTTAGACGTCTCACACTAAAATTTTAGGGCCCATTCGGTATTGATTATAAGAATTGATTTTTTGATCGT